GAGCTCTTGACACGTGGAATCCAGGACAGCAAACCCCTAAGGAACAGTAATGGGAGCAGCGGTACCATGAGGGTAGTGGAAGGTGGTGCGAGAAAAGGGGAACTGATTGCAGTGATTGTAGAACCCCTCCCACCCATCTCCCATCCCAGAGGGGACAAATAACAGAAACACGGGTGAAATGAGACAGCGGATGGTGTAAGATAAGAAAATAAGAATTTATCATTTATCAGGGGTTCATGAGTGTGGGAGGTGGGGCAGGGAGGGATAAAAGAGGATGATCCAAGGGCTCAAGCAGAAAGAAAATGTTTTGAAACGATGATGGCAACATATGTTCAAATGACGTTGACACAATTGATGTCTGGATTCTTATAAGAGCGGTAAGAGCCCCCAATAAAATGATTTATTAATAAAACAAACACATTTTCTGAAAAAAAAATGCACACCAGATTTCAGACTTCAAGTATAAAGAAAAGAATGTAAGATATCTCAATAATTTTTATAGTGATGGCCTGTTCAGAGGATATTTTGGTACTATTAGGTTAAATACAATATATTATTAAAATTCTATTCTTTTTACTTAAAAAAAAATGTGTCTACTAGGAGAACAAGAGCCTGAGGCTTCCTCCCAGCCTCTGCTCTGGTTCTCTGTGCCTGGAATGCCCTTCCCAGACTCCCACATGACTCAGCCCGCTAGTTGCTCTGGTCAGCCCTCAAATGTAATTTTCAAGGTGTGACCTGCCCTGACCAATCTATAAGCGTGTGACCTCTGCACTTATCATCTTCCTTAGCCTTGTGCAGTCATTATTCTCCTTCCCTGACTTATAGTCCCTCATGCACCGCTTACCTAGCCCCCTCCCCTGCACACACACACAACTCCCATCAAGATAGCATCTCCGTGATACCAGGTGGTTTTCTTTTCATCTCACGCATCTGTTTAATCTTCCCTGCTGAGTTTCCAGGGTTGAGAACAGCCTCTGTAGTATGCCTTGGTCTTAGTAAGTCTGCAATAAACACGTGTTGAATAAATGCCAGGTTAGAGATCCGGTATTTAGCAAATAACTATAGTTCCCTGCATAGAATATAAGTAGAACTTTCTCCTTGTGTTTTCTTCTGAGTTTGGGTTTACAGTTTTGCTTTATAACATAAAGTAACTAAGGCATTTATGTTGAACAACCAGGAGCTCATCTTATAGGGGGAAATGTTTTTCCTGTTGATTCAGTAAAAGCAATTGCTGGTATTCAATGAGTCACTCATCAGAGTTTGGGGTATTGAGGGTACCTGTGTGATGGTACCAGTAGAATCAGGCTGGGAGCACACCCAAACATAGATGAGAGTTATTTTTGCCCCCAAGGAGCTTACAGTCTGCGTATAGATATCCAACCCCCAAATATAGCTCCTCCCTCCTTCAGTCCCAGTTTGCTTTACAGCAAACCTGAGAAATATTACTATCTCCTGCAATGCAGTGCATTATTTGATACGGCTCTTGAAACCTTAGTTTTGCTAACTACCACCAAATAGCTTTTTCCCAATGACTCTGGGTAAGAGACAGTGGTGGAACATGGTCATAGGATTATATATTCCCATTGTGAGTGATTGTTAATAGGGCTGATTTTTATTGTAAAAAATTTTTTCCAGATCATTTTATGGGGGGCTCTTTTAACAATCCATACAACAATTGTATCAAGCATATTTGTATATATGTTGCCATCATTATTTTCTAAATATGAGCGTTCTATTTGAGGCCTTGGTATCAGCTCCTCTCTTTTCCCTCTTTTCCCCCTTCCCACCCTTGTGATCCCTTGATAAATTAGAAATTATTATTTTTATATATTGTTTTCCTGTTTTTAGTTTTTTGAGGGGTTCTATTTTATTTTTATTAGGGGATCATACAACTCACCACAATCCATACATACATCAGTTGTGTAAAGCACATTTGTACATTCATTGCCCTCATCATTCTCAAAACATTTGCTCTCCACCTAAGCCCCTGGCATCAGCTTCTCATTGTTTCCCCTCCCTCCCCGTGCCCCCTCCTTCATGAACCCTTAATAATGCATAAAGTATTATTTTGTCATATCTTGCACTGTCCGACGTGTCCTTTCAGCCACTTTTCTGTTGTCCGTCCCCCAGGGAGGAGCTTATATGTAGATCCTTGTAATTTGTTCCCCCTGTCCACCTCACCCTCCCTCCATCCTCCCGGTATCACCACTCTCACCACTGGTCCTGAAGGGATCATCTGCCCTGAATTCATTGTGTTTCCAGTTCCTATCTGTACCAGTGTATATCCTCTGGTCTAGCCAGATTTGTAGGGTAGAATTGGGATCATTATAGTGGGGGGGCGGGAGAAAGCAATAAAGAACTAGAGGAAAGTTGTATGTTTCATCGTTGCTACACTGCACCCTGACTGGCTCGTCTCTTCCCCACGACCCTTCTGTAAGGGGATGTCCAATTGCCTACAGATGGACTTTGGGTCTCCACCCCCCCCCCCCATTTTTGTTCTGCTGATGCCGGATACCTGATTCCTTTGACACCTCGTGATTGCACAGGCTGGGGTGCTTCTTCCATGTGGGCTTTGTTGCTTCTGAGCTACATGGCCACTTGTTTATTTTCAAGCCTTTAAGACCCCAGATGCTATATCTTTTGATAGCCGGGCTCCATCAGCTTTCTTCACCACATTTGCTTATGCACCAGTTTTGTCTTCAGCAGTTGTGTCGGGAAGGTGAGCATCATGGAATGTCAGTTTAATAGAACAAAGTGTTCTTGCACTGAGGGAGTACTTGAGTGGAGGCCCAATTTCCATCTGTACCTTAATACTAAACCTATACATATATGCACATAGATCTATTTCCACATCCTCATATATATATTTACATATGTACATGCCTTTATTTAGCCCTCTATAAATGCCCTTTGCCTACTAGCTCTTTCCTCTATTTCCTTTGACCTTCCTCTTGTCCCACTATCATACTCAGCCTTCATTTGGGTTTCAGTAATTCCTCTTGGTTACATTTCCCTTGGTCATGCCCTACCAGGCCTCCTACACCCTCCTCACCACTGATTTGGATCACTTGTTGTTCCCTTGTCTCTGGGTTTGTTACCACCATGACCTTTCCCCCACCTCCCCCTCTCCCTTGTCCCCCTGGAATTGTCGGTCCCATTGATTTCTCCTCCAGATTGTTCATCCAGCCAGCCTATCTTATTTAGACAGACCTGCAGAGATAATAACATGCACAAAACCAAGCGACAAAATAAAGCAAAACAACAGCAACAACAAGCCAATGACACACAAAAAATAACAAAAACAACAAAAGAAAAGCCTGTAGCTAGTTCAAGGACTGTTTGATGGCCGTTAGGAATGTTTTCCAGTCGAGTCTGAAGGGGTGCCAAGACTGGCCCCAGAGTCTATTTTTGGTATTCCCTGGGGACTTTGTTGCTCTGTTCCCCTTGCTGTTCTGTTCACACCCTTGCCTCAGTGTGGTGGGGTCAGATCGGGCACAATTCCCACACTGTGTCTCCAGTGTTGTCGCCTGCAGGGCTATGGGTCAGTGAGGGGTGTCGTGTCTCATAGTGGGGCCGGCCATGTGGTCTTCTCGGTGGGTTGGCTGCTCTGAGCGGGAATATCGTCCTCAAGGCTTGGTGTATTTTCATATCTTACACCCTCCCCTGTCTCCCTTCCTCCATGGTTTCTTCTCCCCTCCTCTCCCCACCTTCCCCCTACCCTACTGGTATCATTACTCCCATTTCTGTTCCTGAGGGGTTTATCCGACCCAGAATCTGTGTGTCATGAGCTTTTATCTGTACCTGTTTACATATTCCAGCCTAACCCGCAGTGATGGGCAGGATTGGGGTCATGATAGTGGGGGGTGAGGAAGCCTCAAGGAACCAGGGGAATATGGTGAGTTTCATTGGTGCTGTGATTGGAACTCTAATAAGAGGAATGGTACATTTTGCCATCTTGCTGGGTATAAACGGAAGAGAGGAAGCCCTTTAGTCCCACGAAGACTTCACAGCTTCGGAAACCCAGAGACTGCCAGCAGCTGTACCTGGGTCAGAATGGACTCTGTGGCAGTGAGCTTGGTTCTGAGTTTTTGGGCCGGCTATAAGACAAGCCATCTCAGCAGCAAAAGATGGGATCTCAATGCCATTAAGATCAATGAACCAGGAGTAGAGCATGTCCTTTAGACCCCAAGGTTCCTGTATGTTAAACTTTCTTGATCCAGGGACAGAAAGCTGTGACACCAGAGAAGAGGCAGGGGAATGGCAAAGCAATGGTAGCAGCAGAGCCAAGAGCCAGAGTCTAACAGAACAGAGCTGAGGGCCTGGGCGGGAGGCTTGTTTGCTGAGCCGGATGCCTCAGGCACTTAAAGTTTGCTGACCCAGGACCTTGAGCTGAGCACCTTTGGCTGAAGCTTACACTGGATTGGAGTTCCCTTTGGGCATTTACTGAGCAGGGCAGAAGGTAGACCCAGGTGTCAAACCAGAAAGAAACTTGCCTTTGGATCTGGCAGAGAAAAAGCAGTCCTGACCAAAGAACTGTGTCCTGAGCAATGCTGACCCCGAATTAACTTGTGAACTTCTCTAAAAAACCCTGTAATTGTGAGTATGCTCCGTGTGAGTTGTATGGCCTTGCGCGGAATTCTTTCATCAAGGACAGAGTGCTTGGGTTGTGTCAGGATTGGCAAAGGAGGAAAGAGGGTTTATTTCATGTCTGATTTCTGCCTCATGGGCTGACACTGATAATCTTGATTTGTCTTCCCTTGAGAAATTGAGAAGGGAAGACAGATTGTGAAGGATCAATGTTGGGTACCTTGTTTCCTCTCCCCCCTTATGGAGTTAGAGAGTGAAACACTGACTCCACTCCCCTTTCCCTAGTCCCATGTGTAGATACAAATATGTCATGACAAGAACAAACTCAAATTAGGAATGAAGTATCGTGTGTTGTATAAATGCCAACTCAGGAAAGAAAGGCATATTCAAAATGCAGATTCATTACACAAGACTAGTAATTCAAAAATAATTTTTATTTTAACGTACATGATTGAGAGAGTGATGAATAGAAATGCCACATAACTAAAAGCACCCCCACCGAAACAAAAAATAAAATGCAGACATGAATACAAAAGATATATAATTATTAATCATGCAATATTCAAAGTACTTTTTAAAAGGAACAAAGAAAAAGCCCCCCCTATAACATCGGTAACGTGACACCTGAAAAAAGAACTATTTCAACCATTTAACAGTGCTGTAGACTGTACAAGGTACTCTTAAAATTATGATAAGCATGTTTACTATTTATAAATGTACAATTATGTACAAGAAAACTTCACAGTTGAAACATACATTTGCCAAGAAGCCTGACAAACCATTTTCACTTTGAAATGACAAAAATGTTTTTTTCCCCAGAAGTTGTGTTAAAATGTAAATATTAAAAATGACAACTAGATGATACTTTTTACAAACACAGCCACAGTACATTTGATATTCCACAGGCTTTTTTTTTTGTTGTTGTTGTTGTTGTTAAAGTCCACAGTTTTAATTACACCCACGACAGATGCTCTTTCTACCTTGGCATACCCCACCCTGCATACATTTAAAAGGAAGGAAAGTGACTGAATAAGAGTCACTGAATGGTTTGGGACTTTATTGAATGGACTTCCTATCCTGCCACTTAAGCAATCATGGAGTCTGCTGTTTAAACATTTTGGCCAATAAATTCTCGCCATTGGTGGATTTCTCAGGGTTCGTATCAGCTTCAAGGCTGACTCCTTCCTGATGTCACGGACATTTTTGCAGAGGCCAGGGCCCCCTGCAGGTCTCTCCATTGCCACCCATCAGGATTCCTGCAACCTCTTATCAAAGAACAGGTTTTCTTTATCCACGACTTTGCATCTTGATTTTTCTTAGCAGCAAAATACCCCTAAGTAAGATTATCACTGAAAAAAGTCTCTCACAAACAAAACAAAACAAAGCTTAAAGCTTTGAGGTTTTGTTTCTTAAATTATTATTTAAAGACCATGCATGTAATCTTACTAAGGTACTTCTTTTCAATCATAATGAAAATTCCAGGATAGAGAAAAGAAGTTATAGAGTGCTTTAAAAACATGAACTGAAAAACAGCAAACTCTTAAAATGGGTCATTTTATCAGGCTTTGCAAGCAAGCTTTCATTGGAAGCAAGTATGCTTTGTGCTTTGTGTTTGAAGCAAAATGGGGACACTAAGGGGATCGATCACCTAACCCTGAGAACAAGACAGAGAAACTGCAAGGCTTAGGATGTATCACAGTGTCACGCGACTATGGAAGATCTGCCCCAAAGTACACAGATGGCTATTTTGAAATGTTACACACATTGGTTAAGATGGGCGCCTTTTCCATGTATTGTCAGAAAGAGTCTCTGATGGAATCAGTTGAATGATGCAGCGCCCCATGGTCTTGGTTAAAAGACAACAGGGAAGCACTGTGAAACTGGTCTTTGTATTCCGTCTAGCACACGTTACGAGAACTCTTCACGTTTCAAACACTCTCCCCTACACAACAGCACCATCCTGATGCCAACGGCCAGATAGCAAGACACTTAGCTGTGAGGCGGAGTTAACGGGTGATCAAAAGGCAGTGGCCACTTCAGTGCCATGATGACTTCCAACTTTCATGCCGTCTCGAGGAAACTTGTCCAGCTGTTCATAGGCTAGCCGTCCATCTTCTCCTGGGTAAAGATCACGGAGCATGAAGACCTTTTGGTCTTTGACTTTTTCAATTCATCATTCAGATAAAAACATATCTGCTATGATACTAAATGATGAGTCAGTGTCGAGAAAATAATACGGTCATTTAGGTACGGGTTGCCAAATTTTGCTATGTTAAATTTATAAACAATCAAAACCAGACCCCCTGTCATGCAGTTGATTCAGGCTCAGAGGCTACACAGGGTGTCCAAGGTTGAACCATTTTACAGGGCAGACAGCCTCATCTTTCTGCCGAGGAGCAGCCGGTAGGTGTGAACCGCCGACTCTGCGTCAACTGTGCCAGCAGGACCCGTTTATATAAGAAAGCGCTTTCTTGTTGGAGCCAACTTTGTGGTAACTGAGTAGCACATCATTCTTCCTATTTTCTACATAACATTTAGAACAACTCAGAACTTCAGCACCAGAGACCAAAAGAATGCCAATGTAGAAAAGAGAGTTGGAAGTTCTACAGTCATTTGATGGAGATTAATTCCACACACCAGATTTATTCCTGAGAAAGTAGAGGGCTTACATTTTAAGTGCTTTCAATATGACTGGCCCTTGACCTTGGTGCATTGAACCTTGATACAAATTTTAGGCTTAGATACACATTATATGTTGATACTTTTAAATGATCTTGGATATAGATTAAGCTCAGGCTTTCAAACCTCAGAGAAAGTGAACCTGACTTGTAAGTACATAGTGGAACTTTCTCTAGCAAATAATCAGCTCAGGTTGGTCAGTACCACTGTCTTTAAATAGGCAGGATGTGTTTGCAATTACTTGAATATTTTGTTCCGCTCTCCCCATTTAAAAATAATGCCCACCAGGAGAACATTTAAAACAATTGGGACAAGGATGGCAATAATGAACAACTTTGGGTGTGGAACCAGGAATTGAATATGTCATCGCATATCCAATCCCTGGTGAGTCCCGTGTTCAGCCAAGGCAGGGAAGCGCTGAACTGGTAGTGAGGGCGGGTGGGGCTGGGGTGACACCAAGAGGTGTCATGAAGCAGGGTGATGGTGAGTTTGGGAGATGCAGCTGGGTGTGCAGCGGGAGTGAAGGTTGAGGTATGTTCAGTAAGGTGATGCTGGAAGCATGAGTCCACGTGATGTCCACGGTGGACTTATGAATGTGCCTAACGAACATTTGACTCATATTCAGTGTTATTTTGGAACACTAAGGGATAAAGAATTCAACTTTATCACTCCCTGAGTACAGTTTTAGGGACTTAAGTAGTATCTAACCTTAAAACCGCCAAGAGGCTGATCCTTTAACAACAAAAACATATGCCGGCTGAGTTAGTTAATTGTGCCAACCTGGCCGATAATCACATGTGGGGCTAATTGAAAGGCGGAGGGATAAATGGGTG